CAGGTGACTGAAAGAAATGTCATGCGTTATTGAAACTCCAGAAAAAATATAAGAATTTTTCAAGTATGCGAGGAGAGAAAAACAAATCTTGCAAAAGGAAAGTTAGGGTGAATTAAAGTTTTGGTATGACAACTTTGAATGAAAGAAAAAAATGAAATAATATCTCTAAAGCTCCAAAAGAAAGAAAATATTACCTTGGAAATTTTTACTCACTACCAGTCAGACATACTGAAATATAAAAAAAAGATCTTAAGAACATTATTACATGTGCCTATATTGTAATTTTTTTGAAAAGCACTGTGATACCACAAAGTTTATGATTATGGGTTAATCAAATGATTAATGAAAAGCGTGTTTAGAAAACTATACAATATATAGTGAAAATATAATGGTACAAGAACACATAAGTGTAATGTTCACAAAATCATAAAGAAACTATGACCCAAGTATTTTATATTCAGCCAGGTTGAAACATTCTTAAGCATACAATAATTCAGGGAATATGGCATCTTTGAGCTATTGAAAAACATGTCAATAAACTCAAGCTATTAAAAAAGATAATAATGAATCCATTAAATCAGTGATTCTCAACCAGGGGTGATTTTTGCCTCCCCACTGACATCTGAAAATGTTTGAAAACATTTTTATTTGTCATAACTGGGCTAATTTACTGGCATTCTACTGGGTAGAGACCAGGGGTGTTGCTAAACATCCTACAGTATATAAGACAGCCCCCACAAGAAGGAATTATCCATCCCAACATAGCCAGGGTTAGGTTAATGATGGTCACATTTGCTTCCTTCTTTGGGTTTTCTTATATTGCTTGATTTTGTTCACAAGCATTATTATTTTTATAAGAACAAGGTTTTTTTAATTATGTAATGATTTTTTTTTTAAGATAGTAAAAAAACTTCTGAAAGCAGAACAAATATCTGTGCTTTGTACTAACACCATATGTAAAGTGAATTAAGTTAATGTATTTCTATACTCTGGTCATTCTAGAATCAAACAGCCCAAACTGACATCCAGGCACATTTACCCCATTCAATTATGTACAGAATTTATAATCTTTTCACACAAGAATATACGTAAGTTTGGAAAGGTGATGAGTAAAGAAAATACCCAGGGAGTTAGCCACTTATTAGAAAATGTATAAGCTTTACTGAGAGACATAGGATTTCAAGCCGGATTTGAATGACAGAAAAATACTCCAGTACCCAAGGTAAGCCAAAAACATCCCAATTTGGAATGAGGTAACAGAAAAACTCTCAAAAAGAATAGTTTGTAAATGTGTCTTAGAGAAATAAGAAAGGGAATGTATTTCTGTTTCTTATAAAATGTCTCAATAAAGGAAACCGTATTAGCCATCGTAATAACTTTTTGTCGTATTAACTTTTTAAGTGTTTTTTAATGTTACTATAGCAAATAGAAAAACTGTTAGTTTAGTTAAGCCTGAATGGAAATCACTGAGTTCTTACATAGAATATAAGTATAACACTGATCCCCCAAATCAGTTTGTTACCTCTCATTACACTTTGATGTGGCCACGCTCTAAAAATGGCTTTGGGCAACACTTCCCAAGAATGAAAAACATGATATAACACTGATGTACCAAAATAACAATAAACCAAGTTTCACTTTCTTTTTTATTAGATTTCCACATGGACATATCCATTTCTTTCTGTTTGGTGCACTCGTGGTTAGATATTTGCCTGTTTTTTCTTAATACCATGTCATGTGAGTTCCACCACAGTGCTTTTGATTTTGAAAGGAGCTTAGAATATTTGATGCCTTTTCTTCTTTTTCATTTAAAATGCAAAGTAGATTTAAGAAAACCATAAGTTTTAGAATACAGTTCTGAAATCAAAATGTTACTGTATTTGAAATGATGAAATTATGATTTAAAGAGAGATTGTCAAGTTGGCTTTGAGTTTGTTTCTCCACGTGAAATATAGATTCACATATTTTCCTGCACCATTATAAGATATATATAGTTACATTTAATTCACTTTTTCCTCTAAGTTTTTATCTCTCTTCTTGTTCTATCTGCAGTTTGGAAACCAGTCCCATAACTGACACTGATCTCGCAAAGAGAACTGTCTTCCAAAGATCATACTCAGTTGTTGCTTCTGAATATGATAAACAACACTCCATTTTACCTGCACGAGTTAAAGCCATTCCTAGAAGAAGAGTTAACAGTGGAGACACTGGTAAGTATAAAGGTAACAAAGAAGATTGAGTGATCTAATTACTAAAAATAAAAAAGCAGCTGGATGCAGTCACTGATGCTTGTAATTCTAGCACTTGGAAGACCAATATGGGAGGATCGCTTGAGGTCAGGAGTTTGAGACCAGCCTGAGCAAGAGCGTGACCCTGTCTCTACCAAAAATTACAAAGATTAGCTGGGCATGGTGGCATGGGCCTGTAGTCCCAACTCTTCAGCAGGCTGAGGCAGGAGGATCGCTTGAGCCCAGGAGATTGAGGTTGCAGTAAGCTATGATGACACTGCTGCACTCTTGCTCAGGCAAAACAGTGAGACCCTGTCTCAAAAAAAAAGGGGGGGTGGGGGGAAGGTTTCATTTGTAGATAAATTTAAAAATTTAATTTTGGAAGAGAAAGGAGTAGAATAATTTCCAATTTGTGATAGACATTCCTTCTGTGTGACCGCTGTAAGTGTGCCTCTCAGTTTAAATTTTGCATATCAGTTGAAGAGACATCCAGAGATCAGTGATTGCTCAAGAATAAATTGACCTTTACAATCTTACTTATTAGGTATATAGCCAAATATTGATACCATTATCTCTTCCACTAAACTTCAGTGAACCAACAGTTCCAGTGACTTACACATCACAGTTATCTTCCCACCCTCAATAGAAGCTTATAACTCTTGCAGTCACCATCACTCTGAGCAGATAATAAAACTTCAGGAATATGAATAGCTCTTAATCAGTAAAGAAAATTTACATAATCTGGACAAATTGGATATCAACAGCCCCAAATTGAGGCTTTTGCGATTCTACCTCAAGAATAATGAAAGAAACCCAAGAAAAAAGAATAATATGGTGATGATTTATTTTATTAAAATGAAGATTTGGCCTAAAAATTATAG